TTTAACAGGCTTTATGTTTCTTAAGTCAAACTACATACATTTATGAAAGTTCTTATGAAGTTTCAAACAGTTTCATTAACTAGTTTTATTGTTGGAATGAAATATAGCAAGACTTACGTTGGCTACTAAGAAAGTTAGTAGCCGGTGGTCATTGTGTTAAGTGAATTCTTTTTCAGAGTTTTAATATAACCAGTTTTGTCACACAGTCACTCCTTTAGCTATTTATCACTAGACAAGCAAAACATACTTCTGCATAAAATATTTTAACTTATTGCAGGGTTAAAATCACTATGAATTGGAAAAATTATGATCCTACAGAAGTGATCTACAAGATTTGTTTAAGTTTGAGTTTATTATTTTGAAAAAATTTCTTCTCAGTTAAAACCATTTGTTACCCATGTAGATCTAGAACATACAGCAACAGCACAACAGCTAGTGGAAGTGCTAACATAAGTGATTCTGCATCCAATGGGAGTGGTTCTCGCTCTGTTCAGGGAAAATCCCAACAAAAGGAGACTGAGAAGAAAGGGTAGGAACAATTTTAGTTGAATTATCACGAGACATCACAAAATTTTTCAGCATAAGCTCAGTGCCTGAGACCGACCTCGTAACCATTTTGGGCTTGTTATAGTTTTAATGCTATAACTTTTAAATTAGTAAGCGAATGTTAACGAAATTTGGCAGATTATCAGTAAACGTTACAATGCTTTCATGTGCAATATATCAAACTTTTTTATTAAGTCTTAAGGTTTATATTAAGGAAATTTCTTTCTTATGCATCTGCAGGTAGCAACAGTGAGGTTAATAAATATTTTTAATGATAAAAGATCACTCTTGTTTGCATCTACTATCCATTGTTGCACCATGTTTCTCGTATGTTTAAATGGTGCAAAACAAAATCCAAGTGATTGTTGAAATCTCTCTGTAAAAAATAGGTTTTGTAATTTTATTTAAAAGTATGATCAGGATTTATAATTACAATCAAACTGATGAAATATCTATTCTGTGTGTATCCTTTAGTAAATTAATAGCAAAGAAACCAAGAAGTTAACTGTGAATGTGTCCATTTTCAAACATTTTCTGTCACCTTAATATCATCTATAATTTGGTTTTAGTAATTTTTAAAGTTTAATAGATGTATAAAATTTTCTAAGAAAAATGAAGTCTTACTTTGCTAATAATCTGCCATGAAGTACAGCTTATCACTTACTTTCAAATTTTCCAATTTAAACTTTACTATTGGTTTTCACATGCTGTATTTTAGAAATGAGTGTATAGATACCTATGCTTACAATACTTATTTGAATTCAGTAATGAGTTACAGCCTGTATCAAACCTGTGAGTTTAATTCTTAAATGGACATTTAAAGCTTGTGTAAATATGCATATATATATATAAACAAGCTAACTATTATTTTTATTTTAAATCTACTTTGAATTATACATGGTATATATACACACACACACACACACACACACACACACACATACAGAGTGTATTTAATATAAAAAAATGTTATATCAAGAAAATAGATTCTCTCATTTTGTTCACTTTGTGTGTGTGCTACCAAACTTAATGAGCCCTGCAACTGTTCTCTGGCCTACACAGGTGAATGAAGTATTTATATGTTTAATTTAATAAAGAGAGTGTATTTTCATTCTTTGGCATATAAGTAAAATGTTTCTGCTTTTCAGCATTGTGAGAATATACAAATAGATATAAATTACATTTTGGAGCTTCATAAAGGATTTATGCAGTTAGGATAATTTAGATTTCGTGAAGGGTTATGTAACATTAATATTTTGAAGCTTCACAAAAAGTTTATGTAGTACTGATATGTTGCATATGTGTGAAAGGTATATGTAAAACTTAACAGTTGCAACTTCAGTAATAATATTTGTGTAAAGCTTGATATATTCATACTTTTCAGCCTTATAGAGAGTTTAAGCAGTTTTTATACTTTATAGCTTCTTGAGCAGTATGTTTCGTATTATTACTTTGAGTACAATTAAGGCTTTATGAAGGATATCTGTATGAATTCTACTTTGAACTTGATCAAAGGTTTATGTAATATGTATGATTTGCAGCTTCATGAAAGGTATAAGCAGTCTGTTTAGCCGAATATCGACAGAATCCAGTCAGGTCCACAAGTCTAAATCTTACGATATGTCTCACAAGTCAAATGTTGTCCTCTCTAAGGTAATTAATATAACAGAGACAAATGTTTACTCCAGTGGAGCAGAAGGTGAACGAAGTTCTTTTTTTGAGAGAAAGGAAAAGCAAGAAAATGGAGGTAATCATTTATGAAATTTATATGCAAGTGTTTTTAATAAACAGGCTGTTATAAATACAGTGCAATATGAAAATTTTGTTTGATTTTAATACTTGAACTGATTTTTAAAAAGAATAGAAATGATGTGACTTTGTTGGAAGATTTCTTAAATTAATTTCATACGGCTGGTCAAGTTTACCAGGATCAAATATGTTAAACGCTACCGTAATGTTTGCCCATCCATGTGTAGACCCTGTTGGTTAGGTATATTTCACTGTTCTTACCATATAGATTAAAGGCAAAACTACTTCTTTAATTGTTTTGTCATTGAAAGCTCAACTTATTTGTTCACTATAAAAATTTTGTAAAACAAATTGTTTCCTCCAGCATCTAGTTTCAGTCAGTGAGTAATATAAAACTGAAATTTAAAATTACTTTTATTTAAGCAATATATATAAATCTAATATAATTTAAGTTTTTTAGGCTAAATTACTTAAACACTTATCATTTTGCCTTCATTTTATCTTATTACAAATAAAACTGAAAACATTTTGTAACTTTTGTTGCAAAATTGAAATTTTCAAAACTATTAATGGCGTATAATTGGTGAAAATTGTGAGATTCTGCTAGAAAGCCTTTTAAATGCATGTTTTTTTATGATTGTGTTGTATCTTTGTAGACTCATTTTGAAATGTGTTCTGACTTCTGTTTTTAGTGCTATTCATTTATTTCTTTATCACTTGTGGTTTACACACACTTGTTTTTTTTTATAATAATGAATTAAATAGTTTCTGTATCATTTGTGATGTACACACTTCTGATTTTCGTTTTTAGTAATATTCAGTTATTTTTTACATCATCCTTAGCTTATGTACACTATTAAAATTGACTACTATACTCACAAATATTTGAAAGCCCAGTTAAGTTTTCTGATAGATAAATCCTCTGTCATCACCTATAAAATCAAATGTGCTCATTTAAACTTTTTTTTTGTTGAAGTTATTAATCATTTGTTGTGTGTTTGTATATGAATAAGCTAAAGTATTGGGAATAAAAAACCTCGTAAACATGCATTGGATATAAGTTTATTATTGTTGCAATGCATGTATAGATAGTCCTTAAAAATAAACTTTAGTGATTGGATGGCTTAGACTAAACATGGGAAAAAGTTGGCGATTTATCTAAGCTGCTTTTTAAGAGAGCTGGGTTAATGTTACTTCTTGAAGAGAGTTATTCTGTGGGAAAGTTTAATTTGCTTGCTTGCATTAGTGTTGAATCTTGGAAACAGCTGTAGAACAACAAAGATTTCATTGTTAATTTTAGTTTTAAAAAAATGCTGTAGTCACTTACCTAGTGAAGTTCTGGCTATTGGAGTGATTAATTTCAATTCTGAAAGAGGGCTTTGTTAGTTTGTTGAACTGTGATACTAATGTTATAACTTACCCTAGAAAACTTTGATTTTTTTTTTTTTTTACTTGACTAATTAATAGACAAAAATGTTGTTTACAAAATGTAGTTACAATGTAATTACCATTATTTTCTAGACATAATTCAAGAAATTGTTACAAATGCACGGAATCAACTCCAAGAGGAAGGAACTAGCCGAATTTCAGCAGCTGAAAAGTTTGGGTTGGGACTGACCCCTAGAGGACCAGGATCTAGCATCTTAGCAGAAATGAAGGCTCGGCAAGAAAAGAGGTCATCTGGACTTGGTAAAAATGTAAGTAACTTCTCATAGGAATTTGAGGCATTACTTCTTTGAACAAATGTGTTTGATATGTTGATTCTTATAATATTGTAATTTATAGTTTGTTTTTTTTTTCATTCTGGCTGTTTAGTTCTACTAACATATATAATAAAGAAAATCGTGAATTATTTTATGTAAATAGTATTGACCGTTATATTTTGTCCTTTTGATAATGAACCAATTCTGATTTATGCCACATGCAAGCTATAAATCATGAAGTAGAACTATTCATTCTGAGTTTTCAGTAGTTGTAAGACTTAAAAGAAGGTGTAGATAGAATATGCTTACAGGTAACAGCATTAAAAATTAAGTGATTAGATCAAACAGCTATTTAACCTGGTAAAAGGTCTCTGTAACAGTAATGAGGTTTCAACTCTGCTCTTAGCTCAGTATAGAAGCTAAAGGAACTTTTCTGGAAAAGCTTGTCATTACAAAAAGATATATTGTATATACAAATTTCTTGTAAAATTACTTTCATTTAATTACCTTTCACCAGGTAGTAGATGATAAAACAAGCACTGAAAGCTTAGATCACTCTCCCAGTCTTCTTCATGCTGTGAAGCTTAAACCCACAGGTTTAGCAGAGTCTCTGAAATCCCCAACAGAAGCATTTCCTAAAGAAAAGGGAGAGGCTGCTTCACCTGGAAACAGTAGTAGCCCAGGTGCTGTTGAATCACGACCAAACAGTTCACCATCTGCTATCAACACTCCAGGTGAGGCTCACTTCCACGTTCTCTGATTTGAATTACTCTTACAAAATTCAGGTGTATTTAATGATGAGAACAATATTGGGAACTGCCATTTTTAAATTCATAATATTAATACATGTTATACTTGGAATAGTGCATTATAGTGGGCATGTTTTTATCATCGGGTTGTCGTGCATATTTTATTATAAATTGTTTTTATTTAAAGATACTTGCCAGGTTGTAGTATTTTGCCATATAATGTACAGTGCAAGGCATTGGTTTTACATCTTCCTGATTGAATCTTAGATCTTACATTTCTTTAACGTTATGGTCTCCATCCCCTCGGAGAGGAGGTAACATCTCTCTCATCATACTTCATTACAAAAATAAAACTAGTTGATGAAATTGTTTAAAATTTGACATGAATGTTCCTAAAATTATTTAGTTTCAGAAAAATAAAATGTTTAGTTTTGATTTTTTTCCACTATTTATAATAACAAAAATTCTTATTTAATGTATTAGGTCTTCAAGAAATTAATGTCGTATTTTGGAACACTTTCATTAACCATCCCCAAAAAAACATACATCGCATATAATTGTTAAACAAACTGCCTAAATGTCACATTAGTGTAGCCTATATAATGTGTAAAGTTTAGTATACTGTAATTCCTTATAGTGATGGCACAAGACGAG